AATGCATGGTTACTGTAAGATTCAATGCCAAAGATACAGATAGAAATAACTATTTATTAAATATAGTCACCTTCATATATAAATCAATGCTTAAGCTTTTATTATTTGTTTATTATAGTCCTATACAATTCAAACTGTAACAGAATTCAAACAAATCTAGTTTCTTCTGGTTGCTGTTCAGTTGGGTAATGAAACCTTTGCTTTATATATTCACATTCTATTCCTATTATAGTCTCTGAAAACAAAACTAAAAATAAATGTAAATATTTAAATTGACATGTTTCTTTTCTAGGAAATTGAAATCAAACTGTGGTCCCTTTGGTATAATATTATCCTATGTATTATTTTTCTTGTCATTGTGACATTACTTGTGACACTTTTTGTTCAAACATTTAATCAGAAATTTGTTTATTTATACCAACATTCTTCCCTAGCAGTCATTTGATGAAAATTTATTAACCAGGGAATTTAGTGGCTCAGTCAAGATGAAAATTATTTATAAAAAAAAACTATATATAGACTAATACCCAGGTGAAATATGTACCATAGTCAACATAGTATTTCCTGGATTTTGATATCTGAACATGTTATTTTTTGGTGGGCAGTGAAAAACCATCACATGCCATGGTCATATCATGGTCTATTAGTGCTGACTATGACCATGTAATGACATGGCCATTCTGCATATCAGTAACCTATCATGAAAACCCATTGTCTACCATGTAACAAAATTACAGACCATGGTAAAAAGCATTATACTCATAGTAAATGACCATGAAATACCATGGTGTACTATAATAAACATAATTTTTATGTCAATAAATACCTATATAAATTAAATAAAAAATATGAAACACTTTTTTCTTCCCAAAATGACAATGCAAGATTAAATTCAGGTCTTTCATATAATAGATTTTGTTCTATAAGACTGTGAAGAAAACCATATATAGATATTTTCCCAAATGAAATGGCATTAAAATATCCTCTTATGTGACAAAAATGTACTATAAAATCTGTTGAAATAAAGCTTTTAATATCTAACAGCATATTTAACCCAATATTGTTTGATATATTTGCAAATTTAGTAGGTTTTGTTATCCTTAATGCTGTATGCCTCCAGATGAGCCAAAATATTTCAAGACATTCAAACATGAGGAAAAATGTAACAAGATTTTAAGAAAAGTAAAAAGATTCAAGATTTATGTCACATTTTATATTATGACAAGCAATTATAAATGACTGATTGGGCTGCAGTATTTTTCCCAATGTTTAATTAATTCCTTTTAAGTAACACTGTCCATTTTTTGTGTGCATATTTTGTCTTTTTTCTGGCATTAAATTTGCATGTGTTTTAAGTGCCAAGTACAATATGTAATTTATTTGTTCATCTCACAATATTATACATCTTAAATACATTTCCAAAATTTTCATAAAAATGAGCATGAACCTGGGTGGGTGTGCTAGCTACCTTTAAGATAATTTTTGTCATAATTTTGTCAGTGTTATCATATTTTTTGTAATATGAAACATTTGAACAGTTTAAAACTTCAAAATAATGTCAAAAAAGAAGCTTTAGAAATGACAATGCCTTTAATAGCCATAAGAAAATTTTTTAAAAAGTGCTTTTATAATGTTTTCCCTTTCTCAAGATTATTTTTAGTGAAATGCTGTCATGGGAAACTGCTTTTATGTTTCTTAATACATGTTTCTCTATAGTTATGTAGCTTTTAAGTATGAGAATTTATCAGCAAACCATTGTTATATGTCAGTAAAATTCTCCTGAGAGTTTTGTAGAAAATGGTGGGGAGTTGAGAATGATCACCAACATTTATTATAGTTCATCATAAATTCTAAGACTGCCTTACATCATCTTTTTCAGTCATAAACAATTGTCTCATTCTCTCATACAAAATGTTGCAGAAATAATGTCATTATTTAGCCATTTATGTGAATTGTTAATCACTAAAATCATTCACTTTTAAGAAGTAATAGGTCTTTAGGGTTTTTCATATTTTACCACCAGGGTCTGATATAATAGATATTTCATGTGGAAATTGCTGACAATATGTTAGAGAATTTGTATATCATTCAAAAAAGTAGTACTAGTATAAAGTGCATTTAATGTAACAGTTGATATTGTTAGATGCAATGGCTGGCAGCATGTCATATATCATCATTTTGAACCTATGTTTTTATGAAATCAGTTAAACCTGTAGTCTATAGGCCACCTGCAATTAGAGACCATGTATAGAAATATTGTCAATAAAGGCCATTTCTACATTTTCCTTTTTAAACAATAGTCATACTGGAAGTAAACTGTTCTTTCAATAAAGGAAAAATCATGCAAAGGTTCTAAGAAAGAATAATGTACAAAATATGCAAAATGACAAGTAGAATTCAATATCATATTGATTGTGATCAATCAGGCTCACATGATATATTAACCAGTGTCTCTAATTATACCAGCCAGTGCCTAAAGTGATAAATATATTAAGAATGGCAACCAAGATTTGTTTCATTTGGTCTTCCAAAATTTGTTCAGTTACTTTTATTATACTGGATGACAGTTATAATACTCCCAACAAGGACTCCTGGATAACAAATGTGCAGCTTAGTTCTAACCCAGTGACTAATTCTTGCATATAGGAATGATACTGGCATGCCCCTTATGGAGTGGGGGGAGATTGTTCCGCAATTACTATCAATAAAAGCAATGTCCATAAAAAATGAAAACACTCTCACCCATTTTCTCCAATATTGTGATTTTTTTCTCCAGTTTTTCAGTTAAAGATGGACATAATGTTTGACAAATATATAGTCTTTTAACCAAATTGTTATGAATTAAAGTATAAAAGAAAAAAATGCTTCTCCTTTTAGACCTTATATGTAGGCTGGGGGCACCTGGTACAGTTTTTTCATCCTTATCTGATCTTAAGTGAATCAGAATGCAATTTACAATTTACTTTAAATAATACTATGTTGGAATGTATTTGCTAAATCATACTGATCATTCTGAAATATATCCACAATTACATCAATTCTGGATATTGTCAAACTGGGAGAAAATGAGCTCAAATCTGATTATGCTCTGGTAACAGTAATTTGAATGACATCATATAGGCACCAGCAGCCTATAATTACAACAAATGATCATTTATCTTTGCCCAGTACTTATAACAAATGTAGAAAATACTTCATCATTCTCACTGACAAGTTAACCAAATTTCTCTTGTCTTTTGCCTGTATAAGATGATTGAATGAGTTACACTTGAAGAGGGTAATATCTATTCGTATTTCATCATGGTAAACTATGTTTAAGAACAAATTTGTGGTAATTGTGTATTAAGTAAGAAATGCATTCTTAAGGGACCAAATTTAAAAAAAAAACAGAATATAACAAATGTAAGATAACCAAATTTTGATATCATGTCAGTCATGTGAGGAATTGACTGTAAATTGTTTTTCAAGTATAATATTCAAAATCAGTGAGTATAGCATTATTACCTGCTTAAACATCCAAAATGGTAAGCCTTGTCAATCAGTATGGAGCCAGGCTAGTTTAATGTGCAACCAGAAAGGAGCCAGGCCAGCCTAACTGTGCATCCAGTATGGAGCCAAGCCAGCCTACTGTGCAACCAGTATAAATCCAGGCAAGCCTGCTGTGCAGCTAGTATAGATCCAGGCCAGCCTACTGTGCATCCAGTATGGAGCCAGGCCAACCAAATGTGCAACCAGTATAGAGCCAGGCCAGCATATTGTGTAACCAATATAAAGCCAGGCAAGCCTGCTGTGCAGCTAGTATAGATCCAGGCCAGCCTACTGTGCAACCAGTATGGAGCCAGGCCAGCCTGCTATGCAACCAGTTTGGAGCCAGGCCAGCCTGCTGTGAAACTAGAATAGAGCCAGGTCAGTCTGCTGTGCAACCAGTATGGAACCAGGCCAGCCTGCTATGCAAACAATATAGGGCTGGGCCAGTCTGTAAATTGCAGCAAGTATAATGCCTGTCAGAAGAAAGTTAAACATGTTTGTATATCTACAAGGAGCAATAGTTACCTCACACTGGCATCAATCTATTTTTTCAATAACCTGATCAAATAATGTAGTCACTTTTGAATAACAAAATTCGCAAATATGATTCATTCAAATTTGTTCCAAGAAAAAAGTGACAAAACTCCTAATCATGAAAATGAGCTCGGAAATTACTTTTTCATCAATTAAGAAAAAAATATGTTAATGACAACTTCAATTTCAGATGGAAACAAATTTTTTACATCTTAAAAACTTAAAATAGAAAGGATTCCTTGAGAAAAACAGATAATGAGAATTTTCTGATGGTTGCCTCTATGCTGTGAATGAATGGTTTTTTAACCTGTATGGTTTCCTCTTCAAATTTTTTTTTAGATGAAAAAGTGTTAATTATTTCTCAAAAAATTCTATTTTATCCAGTATTTTTGTATTTGGCTGCTTAAATGAGCAAATTGCTAAATGATTTTTCTTGGTTGTTGTTAAAGCTGGTAACTTTTGTTACATTATATCTGTTTTGAATGATAGGGAACTCGACACAGCATGTCAATCGGGGAGAGGTGGCACTCATGATGATCTTTTAACTGAGTGTTATATGAGCACTTTTAAAACTGGGTGCAAGACCTTTTGTCCTCACTATTATAATTATAATACCTACAATGTTCTATTTCGACAAATTAAAATTTCAACTGTTGACATGCAAAATTTTCATTTACTAAATCTCTCTCTTCATTTTAACAGAAAAAGTAGTGATAATTAACCTTTTTGTGAGTTAAATACCATACATCAAGCAACTTCCAATATTTAATCTATGACATGTTTCACTTTAATCATTATGAGAATCAAAATATACTGTCACAGTCGAAGTCTTTTTAAGACCTTCATTAGATTTCACAAGGATCATTTTCATGTGATAGTTATATTGTATGATTACCATGAAAGATTTAATCAAGTTAAATTCTTGCAAGGGGCTGTACATGAGGATTAATTTTTTTATTAAACAAAATGCTTTGACTGGATGATAACACAAACTTTTGTTTCATTTCAGCAACAGTTTGGCATTTGCAACAGAGCCAGTGGTTGCAAGTCTTGCCAATTTCCTAGGAAACTATGAGAGAATGCCAGTACCTGTACCTCCATGCATAAAAGTAAGTTTTCTACTTTTGTTTAAACATACATGTATTTATTTAGCTTGATTGAAAAACGAGTTCTGGCAAATTATATTAAACACTATCAAGTCAGCTTCCTGGAACCAACCAGTACAACCATGAAGAAACATGGTTGTGACCCAAGTAGGGCTCGAAGCCATGATCTCTGGTTTGAGAGGCAGACACCTTAACCATTAGGCCACACTTCTACACTTTCATAAGTTCTTTGATGTAATATAAGTCTTTTGCTGTCACAAAAAAGTAATGGATAAAACAAAATAAGTAATGGAAAACTTAAAGGGGTTTCATTTTATAGATCTCAGAAATTCTTGTGATTTTGTTTTGTTAGAGACATTATAACTTAAGAATTTTTTTTTCAATGAAGAATCTGTGCATGCAGAGAAGATTTTTTTTCATAAAATATTATCTAAGTGGATGATTATCAATCTATTCAAGAAATGTTTGTGAGGACCCAGATTTCCCTTTTCCAATTAATGTTGTATTTTCTGAAAGTAATTCTTCCTTCTCCATAGTGCTAATTCATGATTTTGGTTTTGTAACTTTCGCTATAAAGGGATATTAAAGAGAATTATTCAAATTATACTTTATGACATAGAAGCCAGCTTCTGGGAGGAGGGTCATGACCTCTTTCCCACACATATGACATGATGATACTCTATACCATCAGCTGAATTATTTATGTATATTAAAATCAAAACCCACACCTGCTAACTATGAATAGCAGAAAAATCTTTTATAAATTAGCATGGCTGAATTGATTGAGCTTAATTTATTGTTATAGCAAAATGATATATTTCTTTTATGCTATAGAAATAAGTGTCATACCTATATGGTTGAACCCTATTTTTAGCACTATCAGGTGTTTGAAAAATCTAGAAAAATCTTAAAGGTTCATGTTTTTTTTTTCTAGTGGTTTAACAAATGACGTCTTTAAGGTATAATATATTATATTGTTAGCAAGGAAATAATCTTCTTAGAGAAAAGTCCTGTTTTAATAGATAAAGAACAATAATGTTTCATAATTTGATTATTATATACTATTATTTTATGCAATTTACATGTATATAATATATTTCCTCTATGGCTGTTTGCAGCAACTGAATCTACTAATGTGACCAGCTAGTGCAGACCAAGATCGGCCAGCACATATGTGTTGTATGATCATCATCAGGTCTGAACTGTTTGCTATTCAGACAGTATTTTTTTAAATGATAAATGGTCTTGATATATCTTTGACTGCTTTTGGATTTTTTTTTTAATTCGGGAAAAATATGTTATGATGGGTCAAGACTTAAGTGTCCTTAAGTAAAAGGGACAGAAATGCTTGTTAATTGATCCATGTTTAAAGGCCCTATAAACATATGTGTATTTTGATTTTTCAGGGTCTCTGGATTCCATCTTTGAATGTTCAGTTTTCCATGATGGCTCTTTACTTTTATTTAATATCCCCAATCCTGACAGACAAAGACAAAATGAATTAAGAATAAGCACTGAGAATTATATTAGTGAACAGGGGAAGATTTATAGAATTTGTCTTGTTTGAGCATCAGTGCATTGAAGGGAAAGCTTACTGGTCTACTTGCCTAGACAACTTTATTGTTGTTTATGTATATTTGATATGGTCAGTTCTAGGTTAATGCTCTTGAAAGACTTAAGTTTTAGAAGATATTAGCTTAAGACTTGACATACATATGATAACTTAATGGGCATATAATGACCTTACGGCTGACTGAATATGGGCATTGGCCTCATGTTTATTTAATGCACCCCTTGATATAATTTTATATACCCTCTTGGAAGATTTAAACATCCCTGGCAGGATTCTTCGTCCTCACAGGCCTTGATTTGATGTCAGTGTTATAAGTCATTCTATCATTTACAGGTGGAGATTTAATGGAGAGGGGAGAGCACCTTAATTGCGCATGCCATCCCATAACCCCCTCTTAATTTTTTTTAAAAGCTAACAACCCCTCAATCATGGTTATTGGACAGTTTGAACTCTTATTTTAGTCAAAATTAGATATTTGTGAATCATTAATTTTCTTTCTTCTCATTTCACCCGCAATTAAGCCAATAATCCTATCACTTGATAATCAATAGAATTCGAGATAGAGAGACAGATTCTTGTTTTTGCAACAGGCCAACATATTCCATCTTGGCCTTGAAAAAAAATGTCTTCATTGATGATTTTTGTTACCAAACCTCACTCAGTACTGCTCAGTTTCATATCATTAAAAACTTTTTTCTCCCAATTTAGAATTAATGAATATCAGTAAAACATTTTTTTTTTGGAAAAGAAAAACAACCCAAATTGCTTTTATTTCTTTTTGAGAATAAAATTGACACCATTGAAGAAATCCGGCAGAAATAAAAGCTGGCTCACTGAAGAGATCAGAGTCTCTGCGGCATAGCTGAGCGTTTGATAAGAAGCTTATTTCTAGAAATAGTTTTTGGCTAAATTTAACCCCAAGGGTATCGGGTCTTGATGAATCTTCCATATTTATACAATAACGGTGAAAAAAACAACATGCAAACAACATTATTATTATTAGTCTTTTTGGAATGGATATTTTTTTAAGCATCACTTTTTAACGTCCTCTCACATGCGACAGAAACATTTAAAGACAAAACACAAACTTGTTTTGTGGCTCCTCATTAGGTTGGAAAAAGTCTTTTCGGGAAAGATTTTCTGATGCGACTATGATACATGGAAATTTATTCATAACGCAGGAGCACGGATAATCCCCATATACAAAATTGTCTCAAACTTGATACACTGTATTTAGCTTTCTCCTCGTTGAACTTATAAAATTTGTATGCAAATTAGGTGTTCTGCTGACTTGATCAGAGTACTGGTTTACATCCCATTCCAGCAGACTTTGATGGGATATTTGTGTCCATTGTTTACCCCAAAATCTCTATATATCTGTAAGATAACATTCCATGAAGATTTCTTAATGCACGCAAGTCTAGTGTACTCAGTGACTGAGGGGTTATCTTTGACTAAATGAGCCACGTCACGACAAAACCAACATAGTGGGTTTGCGACCAGCATGGATCCAGACCAGCCTGCGCCTCCGCGCAGTCTGATCAGGATCCATGCTGTTCGCTATCAGTTTCTCTACTTATAATAGGGTTGGTAAGCCAACAGCATGGATCCTGATCAGACTGCGCGGATGTGCAGGCTGGTCTGGATCCATGCTGTTCGCAAACCCATTATGTTGGTTTTGTCATGACGCGGCTCAAATATGTTTTGCAAACAGCTTCCTCTTTCACACAATTGCTTAATTTGATATGTTTGAATATCTTAAATTAAGTTTAAAATATAACTATCTTAATAATATCAGCAATGAGTGGCATTAATGGGCAGGATCGTGGATCTGGCAAGGCACTTTTAGTATGTCCAATTATATTGCCAGGATTTTGTGATTTAATAATTTATTCCAAATTTCTCCCTCTTTGTTTTTTATATGTTTGTCCAAGGGTGAGAAAAATATACAGCCTTGTTGGGACTTGAACCCTTAGGACCCTTGAAATACCGTTACACGGGCTCTACTGACTGAGCTATCGGGCCGCTTACACATCTTCTCCCCTAAATTTAGTGAACAGTTCTGAACTGTGACATGTTTATAATAGAGACTGCATCATAAAACTTTTAAATTCTTTTTCTTTTCAGGACAGAGAATTTCTAGAGCTTGAAATAAAGTATGGCATATTACAGGTGAGATTTCTGTTTTAAACCTTTGTAGAGCATATAGACATAATTATAGGCTTGAATATAATAATATAGGAGTGAAATTTAACCTTTGAATGATGTTGAAATCTGATGAAAAAAAGAAAAGAAATACATTTAAAGAAATAAAAAAACCGGGTCACCTATTGAGTTTATAGATAAATCTGCCCTTAAATTTGAATATTTTGCTTACTTGAGGACACCCTTGCAGAAATTACTGGTAATTTACCAGGATTTTACTAGGATTTTATTGGGAAATCCCAGGAATATTTACAGGGATAATTTCTAGGAAATGCAAGGAAATCTGAGGAATTTCCAGTTACTGGCTGGCGGTAATTGGAACGACTGAAAACTACTGGTAATAACTAGAAAAAAATGTGAAACCAGGAATGCCTTAGATCAACTTGTATTTGAAAATCCTAATTACTGAGAATGACCTGCCCACGGTATTTGGAACATTTTTCTAGTCAATCCCAGGCATTTCAAGGCATTTCAAAGACCTATGATAATACCAGTAACTCCTGGTATTTTTACAATCTTAGGAATGACTGAGAATGACCTGCCCACGGTATTTGGAACATTTTTTCTAGTAATTCCTTGGCATTTCAAAGAACTTGGATATCCCAGACGTTCCTGGTATTTCCATGATCTAAGGAATGGCTGGAATAGCCTAGGATTGCATTGTACTGAAAATTCCTAGCAACTGGGTATGACTGGACCACAGATGAATTACTGTTACTAGGGCCACCAAAAGATCATTATGATTAAAATCAAATACCGGTAATCAGTTTTGTAGAAGACATCATTACAAGAAAGTGCTGACAATACAAGATGCCATTGGACACAGGGCAATCACAATACTTCACATAAGCACATTGTACTGATGTGAACTAAAATGTGCACTTTTAAATCCAGTTAAATGACAAGCAGTTCAACATCAGTCATAAGCAAACTATTAAATTTAATAAAAAGCATGATTGCATATGAAACAAAGTATTTTCCTTACAGTTTAATTGTTTTTGTATTGTTTAGACACACTTCTTTAGATATATCATTGTAGTTACTGGAATGCAATGAGCTTTGGCAATAACACTTGACTTAAGATTCCTTTTTTTAAAACAGTGTAACATGAGACACCTCTTTGAATTTAGCACTAAAAGTTAAAACATTATAATACTTGACTAGGTCTCTCCTAGATTTTAATTTGCTTTCATCATTTTCTTAACTGATTGAATGCGGGACATCACTTAAACAGTCTAAGAAACGTCACTTAAACAGTACAAAACATGACGCAAGAAACCTCCAGAATTACATGCAACTCCTACATTTTCTATTGCTGTCTTCTGAAATGAGTAAATCCTTGCTGTAAGATCCAATTTTTGCCGGTTTAATAATTTTCTTGTCATCAAATTTTTCATACTGAGAATCTCAGAAATCCACTGAATTGATGATCACTGGTAATCAAATGAAATGTTGATCTTTGGTAATCCAACGACTTCTTTGCATTTTCACAGATATATATATATATACAACAGATAGAAAGCTCTAAAAATAGATAATAGTCAGATTCAGACCCACAATCCTTTGCAGGCTTCGGTGATAATTGGGTTTTCTCGTTAGTCTCCAATTTTCGCACTCTCGTTAAACTTGGACGATATCCATGAATTATTGCTTACATACCCCAACATAGATTTTCATCAGAGAAATATTTGTATAGACTTAAAGTGTGTATAGTACCTTTTACAATAAATAACTATTGCTTCTTATTTAAGCAAAAAAAATGTTTCATCTTCCTCAGGGAATTCAATATGACGGTGTTTTGGCTATTTTTACCCAGGATGCATCAAATCTCTGAAAATCCCGCAACATATGATAACTTATAAGAACACAATTTTGCCAATACTGAATTTAACTGTGTGACATCACAGTTTCTTCTCCATGTATATTTAGCTCCATGGCATTTTGTACAACTTGCCCTCTTTCAATTAACTGAAGAATTTATGACAGTTTCTATATCAAAAGTTTTTGACCCGTTTTATAGATTTAAGCTCTCACTCTCCTCAGCTTTGAACATCATCCACAAGTTAGTTGAACTCCTCCCTTTGTGGCCTTGTGGTACCAATTCTTAACTGAAATCAAACAAATACATTTCTCTACATATGGAAATATACCAAGATATTTGAATACGAAATAAATACAAATCACTTGGCAGGACGTGAAGTGGATGCACACTTGGTTCAAGCGAGTAAAATCATTGCAAACTTGACAAAATGGTTTCTGTGTCTTAAATATTTACAAAACTCTCACATATTTTTTCAGGTAAGTGGGTTTGTATGTTAGTTGATTTTTTTTAAAATGGCCATTCATGAAGGAAGTGTTTATGACACACTCTGTTCTGGGCCTCAGATTTGTAGCTTTTGGTTATACAAAGCTATTGAAGTTATAAACTGGTCATGTACATATTTTGAAATTTGATAAGTGAAAATCCAGGGCGGTTTTTATGCTCATTTATTCACATATGTAAGTTTTGAAGTTCACCAAAAAAGGCAAACTTAAATGAAAATATACTGTGTACAGAGTATTTTTTTATTATTATTTATTATCATTGTTATTCCTGTAATTTAGTGATGTTGATCATTATTTCTGTAAAGTTGGTTGATTCTAACTCAAGCACTCAACTATTCCTTGACTCAAGGAACAAATAACACAACATAATGAAACGGTTTTTACGAAGTCACGGGAAATAACTCTACAAATACGGGATAAATCCACAAGCGGAACCCAAGTTGCACAACTACATATGATGACCTACCTTCCCGTAAGGTTTAATGACTCTATGTAAAATCCTTTTTGATTTACATGCGACAAGTTGAAAATTGCAAAAAAAATTCTAAGTCAAGGTCAATAACTCTAAAAAATAAAATAAATGCACACAAAAATATCCAGTGCACAACTTTACATGCTGATGAACATTCCTGCAAAGTTTCATGACTCTAAGTCAAACTCATTTTGAGTTACATGCGACACAAGTTAAAAATTGCAAAATTTTACTAAGTCAAGGGCAATAACTCTAAAAATACTATATAAATTCAGACAAAAATACCCAGGTGCACAACTACACATGCTGATCAACATTCCTGTAAAGTTTCTAGGGCTGCAACGATACACTAAATGTTCGATTCGATTCGATTTCGATTTTAGACACTCCGATTCGATTTTTTTCGATTCGATACATTTCTGATTACTAATTTATCTTTGGTGTATAATTCTGCTTGTCTGCTCCAAAAGTGAGTGGCCTTCAACCTAGTGCTTTGCTTTTCTGTTGTAATATAACTATTATATAAACCTATTTGACTTAATAATTGTGTTTATGAGAATAAAAAGCTCTTGTCTATTTAGAAATAATTTTAATCAGGCAAATAATCATTCATCTCAGTTACATGACTATCACAGACACCTTCTGCTGACTAGGAATTTAACAAAGTATGTAAATTTTAATGTAAATAATAATGAACATTGAACAAAGTTTCACAAGGTTGTCAGAACTGATAATTCAGATATTCTGTTTATAATTCCCATAATATGTAAAATGAATAATCAATCCTAATGTCAGTGTTGTCACACAATACTTCTTAGTCTAGTAAACAATACAGAAAAAATGAAATTCATGAAATTATCACTTTTTTTCACACTTGACTAAGGAAATAATAATCAATCCCAATACTTACTGAAGTACTAATCAAACTTATTTTGGGAAGGCCAGGACACGGATAAAGTTAACCAAGCAAGTCCACATCGTGTTTTCGTTTCATTGTTGCATTAAATTAGATGTACTGTCAGACTTTGGATATGACACGTCCGTAAAGCATATTTTGCAAGTAGCTTAATCCGTGTCCTGGCCTTCCCGAAACCCAAAGTGTTCGCAAACCTTTGATTTTAATTTTTTAGGAGGATTTTTTAATTTTATTTCATCAATATTTATGTTGATAGCCATTTTGATTTGTTTGCCGAAAATAAAACATTACGCGCCCACTGATTGGATGACTGAGTTTTAACTGGCCAATCATATGCAACGTGATAAAGCGCGAAGGGAAAGGCTAAAACTCTCACTTTTTTCCATGTTTATTTTTGGATGGGGAATCGAATCGAAAATGTTGTAGTTGGTATCGGGAATCGAATCGGCGCTCATAAAACCGGTTTTCGATGCATAGAAAGGTATCGTTGCACCTCTAAAAGTTTCATGACTCTAGGTCAAATACTTTGAGTTTAACATCCGACACAAAAGAGAACGGACGGACAAGGGTAAATCTAAATGCCCGTCACTAAAGTGGGGCAACAAAAAATATCTTGTTCAAGCGTGTTCAACCACTTCACGTCCTGCCCCCTAATACAATAACAGATTACAGTCATCAAATTTAGCACTGGCCTGGTGGCCCATGACCAGTGTAAATTTTAAGAGAATTTAGTTAAATATATAGTAGAATAAATTCAAAACGATTCAAAAATCTTAAATTCGATGACTGAGATTAAGGCAATGTATTCAGGTTAGTGCTTAAAGTATGACACTGTTTGTGCTATTTTTGTTCTTTGCAAATCATCATGTGGGATTTATTTTAATGGACCAGTATTCAGATTCTCTAGTATAGGCTTAGGCAGTGTCAAAGACAAACCATTTTAGCCAGGCTGTCACCTGGACCACTGACCGATAAATTTTGGTGGCCTAGACAACTTTTTAGTGGTCCAATAATTCCTATACATGCACAGAAATCTAGAGATTAAATCACACATACAAAACAAAAACAAACAGAAAACATGAATTCTGTTTCAAATAAATTTTTTGAGGTATCTTATTGTGATTTAAAAATACAGTCAGTAATGTGTTATTTTAAAATACAGACATGATGTAGGCTTATTGAACATCATCTTTTCTTGTTGATCTTGTATATCATATTCTAATATAACTACATAATTTCATAGATTAATGGTGA